TTGTAGAAAGTGGCCCAAGAAAGCTTTTGCCTATGAAATGGGGACTATGATGCATCCTTTAGGGGACTTTCATAAGACTTAACCGCATAAGGTAAAGTCTAGTTTCAGTGCCTGCCACACAGCAAGGGCTCAGTTACTTCCAGCTACTGTTCATTATCCTTCTTATGAAATGGCTGAAAACCACTGCTGGGACCATTGTTGGTTCCACTCACCAGTGTGCTACTGTAAAGCCATTCGGTCACCTGGCCCCTTAGCTAGAGGACCACTAAGTCCCAAGCTTCCCCTGAAACCATCCTATTGCCTCTGAGAAGGTCTTCCCTTGTCCTGGCCCCCCTGGGGAATATTAGGAGTCTACAGCTGACTCAAAGCAGGCGTCATAAGGGACAGTGAAAGCTTGGACAAGGCCGCCGAGGGAGGGGGAAATGCCCTGCTCCTCGCTGAGTTCTGGTCAGGGGCAGCAGGGGAAGACCTGAGGCCCAAGCGGACCCTGGGCCTGAATATAACACAGCCTCAGAATGCCTGTGCGGAAGTGAGGCAGCAGCACAATCTTCAGAACTGCGGGGAACTCTGTGCCCAGCGTGGTGAGCTGACATCACAGCTAGTGAGGACCACCGGGAGCCTGAGCTGGGACAGGGGCTGGAGCGATTATAAAGGACAGAAGAGGGGCAGAGCACACGTGTTCCCTGAAGTCACCAGAAAGCCTGTCCCCCTCGGGATTGGGCAGAGATGGCTGTTAATATTAACACGGATCATCATGATTAGAGGCTCCCATTCGCTGAGCACCCACTCAGGCCATACCTCTTTACACGGGTTAACCATCTCAACCCTAAGGAAAGGTTACCAGTATTATTATCCCCTGTTTTCAGGGAAGAAGACTGAGGCTCAAAGAGGGCAAGTCTGCTTGGGCCCTTAGCTCATAAGTGACAGGCCACACCAGTGCCACCCATGGCAGTTCTGGTTCTTCCCCTCCAGCCCCAACTCCCTTGTCCACCCCTTCTCCCCCTGCCTTTGCCACATGGGGAGAAGCAGAAAGCAAGGCTGAGGCATGTACCCGGTGCCTCTGCCCTCTGCTGTGCCCACTGGTCCTCACACCCATTTCTCCTTGCAGGAAGGTGAACAAATGCTATCGGGGCCGATCCTGCCCCATCATCGTGCACTGCAGGTGGGTGGGGACTGGGGGGAATAGAGAACGCCAGCTGGGCCTTCCTGATCCCACCCTTTCTACACTTCCTATGCAGGCTGCCAGCCCAGCCCCTTGGTGCTGGCAAACAACAGCCCACTGGCCAAATCTGGCACAGCTGTTGTTTAATGGCCGTGTGCTAAGAATGGTTGGAGAAAAAGCAGGGGGCAGTGTGTGACAGACTTTCCACAAAGTTGGAAATATTTACTGTCTGGACCTTCGTATCAAAAGTTGGCCCAACAAAAGCCTGGCCCAGGCTGGAGGACCATTCCCATTCTGTCCTGCTGCCTCCATCCCAGGGCCTGGGACACCCCACAGCTCACAGGCTCTGTGTGCAAGGCCCACGTTCCAGGGCCAGATGTTGGGCACTTTCTCTCATCCCAGGCTCACACCCTGCCCGAGCCAGCCCTCACAGATTGGCCAACATTGTTCTCAAACCTGCACTCATTGCCCTCTCTGCTGGGCCCTGTTCTAAGCCTGCCACCAACTCCTGTTTCAGTGATGGTGCAGGAAGGACTGGCACCTACATCCTCATTGACATGGTACTGAACCGCATGGCAAAAGGTAAGGCCCAGCCCCACAGTGCCTGCAGCCCCCAGGCCCTTGCTAGAGCCTCGCCAGCAGCCAGGGGTCTGGCAGCCACTGAGGAGCAGGCCGCCACACCTCTAAGTCTTGCCCCATCGCCAAGTTGCCCACCCCAAGATGCATCAAGCTTTCTGGGTACTGTCCTCCTCTGGACACCCCTGAACAGCCCACATTCCACCCCACCTCCAGGAGTGAAGGAGATTGACATTGCTGCTACCCTGGAGCATATCCGTGACCAGCGTCCTGGCCTCGTCCGCTCGAAGGTGACCATACCTCCCTGCCCTGGCCCTAGCAGCACCCCCTGAATCCACTTCTCGGCCACCCCAGGGCACCAGCAGCAGCCTGCCTGTCCTACCTCTCTGCCTCTCTGAGGGGGATGCCCCTCCTCACAAGGGACCTGCCCAGCACCCTGACCCCTGGAAGGTCCCCCTGTGGCAGGAACGGAGGCCGGGTCTCCCCATGACCCTCCTGCCACTTCCCTTCCCCAGGACCAGTTTGAATTTGCCCTGACAGCTGTGGCAGAGGAGGTGAACGCCATCCTCAAAGCCCTGCCCCAGTGAGCTCCTCAAGCCCTACGGTGGGCAGCCCGCCCTCTGTTCGCTCTGCCTGTGTGAGCATCTATCTATGTACCCACTTCTCTACCCCCGCCCGCCACTTTGGCCACCCTTGAGCACATCTAGCCCTTCCAAGAGGAGTGTAAGGAAGGGGCAGCAGCAAGCACACGCCAGACCAGGCTCACACATGCTGGAGCCCAGGCAGCCCATGGAGGACGGGGCAGCAAATCTGCCCATGGCCTTCTCCTGCCTGAGTTCCCTGGCTCCTTTCCTGTGGCTCTGGATGCTCCCCACCTATCTGTCCCTCCCTCGGCCTGCTGTGTGGACAGGCAGGGTGGGGGTGCCTGCTGCTGTGGGGCTGCCGCCTCACCCCCACGCAGATACTGTGCCCTCTGTACCCGCACCCCAGGCTTCCCCCTGCCACGTGCCACTTAACCTCTCTCCCCTGGCACAAGAGAACATTTCTAGAAAAATCTACTTTTGTATCAATGTGAATAAAGTTAGTGTGTCATTTGTGCAACTGCAACCCACACTCCTACATCCTTCTGTCTGCTCTGCTTCCAGCCTCGGCCTGGACCTGAGTCACCCTGCAGTCTCCCTGGATACAGAGAACCCTGGGAGACAGGGGCCACAGGGGCCTGGAAGCTGCCTCCCTTGAACTGAATAGCAGTGCCTAAGAATGAGGCAGGCATTTTTTACCCTGTATTCCAAGGTGGCCCAAGGTTCTTTACATACATTCATTCGGTTCATCTTCATAAAGCCACTACCAATGATTAGCCCCACCTTTTTTTTTTTTGGTACCAGGGATCGAACTTAGGACCTTGCGCTAGCGAGGCAGGCAGCAGAACCACTGAGCTAAATCCCTGGCCCTATCCCCATTTTTTGATGAAGAAATCTCAGCTGGACACAGCCAGTAACAAACCTTGTAACTGGTGGAGTTAGGATTCAAATCTGGGTAGTCTGACCTCTGTCACCTCTCCTGTCAGTTCTTGGGTAGCTGCTTCAAGCCCTTTGGCCTCAAAAATAACATTCATATCAGGCAGGATCAGGAGGCTGGGACCTGTGGCAGTGATAAGGCAGTTCCAGCCACACCTCAGGGGACACTGCAGCAAACTCCAATGACTCCAGGCCAGGACTGCTGAGGGATACTTTCTCCCTGTCTGTCCCTCCACCTTGAGGGTGTTCCTCCTCCCAGAAGGAGGCTTCATCTGCTGGTCATGAAATGTCCTTGGACAAATGTGGTGGCCACAGAAGTGAAGCTAGAAGAGCCTTGGGCCTGGAGCACTTGGGGTTAGGGTCATTTATCCACATGCTTGCTAGACGCAGCCTCAAATGGAAAATAAGGTGACTACCATCTGCCAGAATGGGAAGTGAAGGGACCAGCCAGCCCCCCCACAGGTCCTCTACTGCGCTGCTGGGGCTCAGGTCCTGCGAGCTCAGCATTCCAGAGGCTACAAGTGGAGAAGCAGCTGTCCCAAAAGCTTCCAACATTCTGCCTCCCCACCCCACCATGGGGGCTTGAAATTCCTCATTCAGGACAGGCTGCTTCTTTGCATGGTAGAGCTGGGCATGGCAGCACAAGCCTATAACCCTAGAACTCTAGGGGGCTGAGCCAGGAGGATCAAAAGCTTGAGCTCAGCCTAGGCAATGTAGTGACTACGCAAGACCCTATCTCAAAAATAAAAAAAAAAAAAAAAATATATATATATATACATATATATATATATATATATGTGTGTGTGTGTGTGTATATATATATATATATATATGGGATGAGGATATAGCTCAATGTGAAAGCCTTGGGTTCAATCCCCAGTTTAAAACAACAATAACAGGGCTGGGGATTTAGCTCAGTGGTTCCGATGCCTGCCTTGCAAGCACAAGGTCCCGAGTTCCATCCCTGGTACTGAAAAAAAAACCCAGAACAAAAACCATTGTAGACCCTTTGGCTACTGAAGGTGAGGCCAACAGCCTGTCCTAGCACTGGCAGATGGGGGCCACACCACCTTGCAGGACAATGCACTTTTCCATGGCTGCAGATACAAGGAGAGGTGATTTTCTGGCTCTTTATTCCCCGAGTACTGATAAGCCTTGGGCTTATGCCTAGATTAGGGTTTACTGGTGCTACCCCACGTGCCCGATTTCTACCTCTGGGTGCAAGCTGAGAGGCTTGGTCTAGGAGTCTCGGGGTTCCAAGATTTCATCGTCATTGGCTTTTCGTGGTTCCCATATAGTCATCTTAACTCAGTCTGGTCCTAGCTGTGCTCTGAGTGTTGGGGGTAGAGGGTCTTAAGGATATAAGGGGAGTATTTGGTACTGGGGAAAGCCAGTCATGGGCCCCCAAGAGGTGAGGGCCAAGAATGTAAGACTTTCCTGGGGTTCCATAATATAATTGGGGAGAACAAGCTGGTGAAAGGGAAGACTTCTGCCCAGTGACACCTGCCTGGGTATAAAGGGAGGTGTGAGGCCTGACATCATCCACTGGTCCCATAGGGTCACTCCTGAGCCCCTGAAAAGAGGAAGACAGCATCCCACCGAGCTCTCACAAATCAGTTTTATTGAATTCCAGTTTCCCTCTTGGTCTGAGCCCAGCCCAGCTGGCTTGATAGGTCTCTAAGGCTCAGTGTTGCAGGGGCTGGCAACACCCTAATCCACCAGTCCCCTCCCAGGCCTTGGCTCCCCAGGAAGGGAGGAAGAGAGGTGGCTGCCTGTGATGTTGGAGAGAAAGAATGGGCAGCAGGATCAGAGGCCAAAGAAAGCCATTCAAGCAGCAGCATGCCCCGTGTTCCCAGCACACACCAGTCCCAGCCACACGCCTCTGTGAGGGTAGCTTTCCCTTCCAAGCTTTGCCACTTCATGTTCATCAGCCTTCCAGGGCCATGCCCTGCCTACTCTGCTGACCCTTGAGAAAAGAACTTCTCCCAGATGCTGCAAGGTCTTGACCTGCCCACTCCAACCCTGGGGCTAGCAAAAGGTGTCAGGGGAACCCAGGCTCAAGTTATTCCCCCTTCATCCACATCCTTGCCTCCACACCAGGGACAAATCAAAAGACAAGACCTCCCCATCCAGAGCAAGTGACAGGCTGGCCAGGACTGGAACTACATATTCCAAGAAGCACAGTTCTATAACCAGGAACCAATTCTCCTGGGTGTGACCTATCAGAAATGTGGTGGTGTGCACTGCATTATGGGACTTGTAGTCCCCAGGAGACAGCAGTAAACACCCAGGGAAGAGTTCATAGGCTAAGACTACTGATGCCCCCCCACCCACTGCCCAGGCCCCAGTTCTACACTCAGCATGGGTGAGGGAAGAATGGAGTATCCCCTCCCATCGCAAGGGTGAGGGTGCTGTCCTGTTGGAACTGTGAAGCGACTCTGTATCCTGGACATCCAATCAGAACACATCTGGGGAGAGAGCAGGGGTGGGTGACAGGAGAGAGGGTCAGCAGCAAGCCACGGAGGATGGAGCCAAGCATGCACACCTGGGCTGGCCATGTGGCCGCTCTCTGAACCCTGATTCATAGTGGGGAAGTAGTATGGGATACAGTCCCCACCTAGGCCGCCCACGGGTCGCCCTGACCCTAGCCCTAGCCCACCTCTCTGGGGTTAGCCAGCCTCACCTCTGCCTAGTCCCGCAGCTGGGGCAGGCTGAGGCAGCAAGAGGAAGGGAGGAAGAGTAGATCCGGCTCCAAATCTGGATGGCGGAGAGGCTCCCGCCCCACCCAGCTAGCCTCCCCAGAAGACCTCATGGCCCCACCGGCCCCAGCATCTTCCTGGGCACATTGAGGCTTCTCAGGGAGAGAAGGAGAAGGGAGTCCTAGCCAGGTGGCAGTGAAAGCAAGCGATGCAGCCCGCAGAGAGCTGCAGAAAGCAGAATGGGAGGAAGGAGAGCAGCACCAGAAGGGAAGCACAGAGACGGTCAGAGCTCAACACTGCACAGAAACCAGGGGTCTGAAGCTGGACAAGGAGAGCAAGACTCCACTCAGCCTATACTGCTCCCCAGAGAAGCTGCCAACTCGGGCTCAGAGCACCACACCCCAGGCCAAGTCCTCCTTCCTTGACAGCCTTGGCAACACGGGTGGCAGAGGATCTGAGCACAAAAGGCTCAACCTAAAACATTAATGTCCCTCAGAAACTCTCATTCTACAAAGTGCATCCAGCTCCCTCAGCCCTTCCATTGCCCAGACACACCCCACCCCTCTCAGGGACCTATCAGCTTCACCCAGGGACCTTTCAGCTCTGGCTGAGCACAACAAATCCAAAGTCCACACTGAAATGTGGTGGCCCAGGAGGGAAACTTGTGGAGGGACATGGAGTTCAGGCTCCCACAACTCAGGCCACTCTGCTCTGCTCTGACAGCGAGACGCCGAGTCAAGACCCGAATCAGATCAGGCTGGGCCTGGTGTTCAGAGGATGAGACAGCGAGCGGCCTTCTCCTCTGGGGATGGGCTAGCTGCCTCACTGTGGGCCCCACTGTGGGTTCCCCCTGGACCTTGGTGCTGGGCCTTGGGCCGTCCCTGCCGTCGCTGCTGTACCCCCCGCCCACCTGCCGGCTTCTGCCCAGCTGCTTCCATCTCTGACAGGCTGTAGGCCATGGCAAGCTGTAGGTCCTCGTCCTCCTCAGAGAGGTCACTGTCACAGGGCCGTGGGGCAGGGGTCTGCCGCATCTGCACGCCCCCAGATCTGGAGGTGACTGAGTGGTGTTGCTCACGACGGCTCAGCTCCAAGCCCAGTGCCAGGTCGTCTGGAACACCTGCAAGAGTCACAGCCACCATGAGGCCCAGACCCACACAGGGGCATCCTACCAGGTCATCTCACACAGTGACAAGCCTGACCACTTACAGCCTCTCTTTGGAACTGCACAAGGGCAGGCCCCAGGACAGGAGCATGGGCAGGTATTCTGCTCCAGGAAAAACCATTCTTTCTCTGTGGATGAGTTACTCAACCTCCCTACACCTTCCTTTCCCCGTCTATGAAATAGAAATGACAGTGCCTACATAAATGAATCGTCCCATTGGGTAAATATGTCAACCCATGTAAAGTGGGTTGCCACACAGTACTCTCAGTGTCAGCAGCTAAGCAAGGTTAGCCAAAGTGACAATCCTGGGGCATGTGGTGTTATGGGAAGAGTTCTGCTCCAGGAATTGTGTGTCCTGAGCTTGATTCCTGGCTTACTTTACTCCTTAGTCAACAGGTAGGAACCTTGAGCCAGGGGTTACTTGAACATCAAGATCATTTAACCAAGCTGTAGCTCGGTCTCTTGAAATAAAAATGGAGCAAATACCATCTACCTGCATATTCCCTTAGATGCTTTAAGAATACAAGAGATACTATATATGTGCAAGTGCTTTTAAAAAATAGTAAAGTGCTTTGCAAATGCAAGGTACTAGCATCAACAACTGGCTGGCCCTATCAGACCCCTCTGCTCACTTCCTCCCATGGCCGTGTCTGATCCTGCCAGTCTGGCTTGTGGCTGCCATTTCCTAGTCCCCTGCCCCAAGGGAGTCCCGACAGAAGCATAGGGAAGGGGCCCCAGGGATTGGAGCTTCCTGCCTCAGACTGGGTGGTGGAGCCCTTGCTCACCATTGATTGAAACTGACTTCAGCTGCCCGTCCTCCTCCACTTCCACCCGCTCCTGTCCGTTCTCCATGATTCTGTGGATGACAGCACAGCTCAGTCAATGAGCAGTGACCAGTCCAGGCCTTGGCCACTGCAGCGGAAAGGGCAGATTTTACATCAGCACACAGCTCCCACCTCCACCCCTGGCCCCCAGACACCCCCCCCATTTACATGGCCTTAGGAGGCCTCACCTGCGTGTCGTGATGCGGTGTCCCTGGACAAAAGTGGTGGACGTCGAAACAGAGCGGAAAGCACCAGCCCCAGGACTGAAGGAGAAAGATGAGGAGGAAAAATCTGGCATTGGGACAAAGGATAAGGAGAAGAGAGTATTAGAGGGAGGCTCTGTGCTGCCAGTCACAGTCACCAAAGACCAGGAGCCTCAGGGCCCCCCGTAGAGGACAGGGCTCCAGGTAGAGGCGGCCTAGAAAAGTGACAAGCTGCCACTGGGGATTCCGGGACTCAGTGCTCACAAACATGGGAAGGGACAGTGCTTACCACAGTGCCCAGGGAAGGAGGAGGAGAAGGTAAAGAAGGGGCCTGAGTGGCGGGAACCCCAATTCTGAAGCTCCGAGAAGGGGCCCAGGTCATCTGCAGCAAGTAAGCAGATTCACAATCATCAGTGAAAATGCTCCTCCCCCCCGGTGTGTGAACTTTGCTTTTCAATCTAGAAACATAAGCAGCTGAGCAATTGGGTACATTTATGATTTTTTTTTTCCTCTGGTTTTGGTTGGCCTTCTTTACAAATTAAATTCCTTTTCAACACTGGTTAATTTTTCCCACAATAAGGAACAAAAAAGGAGAGTCAGACAGAAGGATGGAAGGACAAACGGCCCCTTTCACAGAGGCTTAGAACATGAGGTGGGGACGAGCAGGAAGAGCACACAGTCCGGCACTGCCATTTGCTCTGTGGCTCTAAGCAAGTCCTTTGGGCCTCAGTTTGCTCATCTGTAAATGAGGATTAAAATTCATCACCTCTCAGGGGTCACAAGATGAGGAGATGTCAAATACTCGACAGAGAATCATCCTAAAACCTGGTGTATGTTGTTACATGTACCACTACCACTCTTGTCACATGGTGCTTTGAGTCTTGCTTTCATGGCTGTTTTTGTGGAGCTCTAACAATGTATTATTGTTGTTGCTGTTTAACAAGGCCAGTCTGTAAAGCGGGTCATGTGTGAGGCTCTAGCCCAGCTCTCACTGGACCAATACTCACTACACAAAAACTCCCGCCTATGGATCCTGCTCCCTTCTCGGCCTCCTGCCTGAAGGCTTCCCGAGGATGGAGGACAGGCCCAAAGGGGGAAGTTGAGCCATTATGAGCCCTCCTCAGCCTACTCACCAAAGAGCTCCGCAAAAGGGTCTCCACTCCCAAAGAACTCCCGGAAGACTTCCTCGGGACTGCGGAAGGTGAAGGTGAAGCCAGGCCCACTACCACCAGTTTCTGCCCAAGAAGGGCCAGTTCCTGGAGGAGAGGCAGGGATGTGAGAGGAGGCCTGGGATGTCCATCTTTCCCTGAGCCAGTGGATCCACCTAAGGCACTTCCAGGAGCCTCGGAGAAAGCAGCCATGACAAGGCCTGCGTTGCTGACTCCACCCTGACCCAATTCCATCCCGGGCCCCTGACACTCCACCTACCTGCCCCAGTCAGCCCTTCCCGGCCATATCGGTCATAGATCTCCCGCTTGTGCTCTGAAAAGAGAGATCCAATCATTTTCCCCTCCTTCTGGGAAAAGGGTTTCCTCTCCCAGGCTTGGCCAACCCTTAGAGGATTGCCTAGAGCCTGACACTTGGGGGACAGCAGGGTGTTCAGGGGACACAGGCTGTGGATTTTGGCAGCTACTAAGCCCTTCACATGACTGGCTTTTTCTCATCTGTAAAATGGGCATCATTATAGCAACTACCTCATAGGAATGCTGTGAGGATTAAATAAAATAATCCACACAAACTGCTTAGCATAGTGGCTGGCACATGGAAAGTGTTTAGTAAAGATGAGCTAGGGGCTGGGGGCAAATATCAGCAATAGAGTGTTTGCCTGCCATGCACAAGTCCCTGGTTTCAACCTCTGGCACTGCAAATAAGTGAATTATGTTAGCTAATTACGATCTGCTATTATTCATCAGCGCTTATCTAAATGTTACTTCCTCAGAGGGACCATCTGTGACCACCAAAACAAAACTAGGTGCCTAGTGGAATGCTTGTCACGATCTGTGACACTACGAGTTTACCTGGTTAGTGCCCGTCTTTCCTCACTAGAACAGGAAAAAACACCCTCAGGACAAGGAATGGAATCTGCTTGTCCTCCACTGCTTCCCTGGCGCACAACAGGTTCCTGACACTGTAACCACTCAATGAATACTTCCTGAATGAATAAATGCTTAAAAGACAGGGGTACAAGTTGCAGCTCAGGGGTGGAGCATTTGCCTAGCATATGTGAGGTTCCAGGCCGAATGCCCAGCACCACAAAAAAAACAAACAAAAAGAGACAGATTTGGCTTCATCTTCCAGCTCTGTGTGATCTTCTTTCAGCCTCAGTTTCCTCACCTGTACAATGGGAGTGATAAAAACCTGCCTTGCAGGATGACTTCAAGGAGGCCTGGAACAGAGGTTCCTGCCCTCCTCCTATCCCTAATCAGCACCCACATTGCTCTCCAGACCCTAGGGGGCAGGCATAGCTGTCTCACTAGAAGAGAGCATTTAAATGCCAGGCTGAAAGAAAGCATGGAGATGGCGGTGGAGGCATGGCTTTGGGAAGGAGTGAGAGGGGGCCTGACATAGGGGAGATGTGTTGGGCCCTGCCCTGTAACCCAGGCCTTACTGTCAGATAGCACTTCATAAGCCTCGGCCACCTCCTTAAACTTCCTCTCAGCAAATTCTTTGTTATCCGGGTTCTTATCTGGGTGCCACTGCAGAGCTTTCCGCCGGTACCTGAAGAAAGTGGATGCAGAGGGGAGGGTCAGGGAACAAATGCTGTCTCGTCCCACCAGGAAACTCAGCCACCCATTTTGCCCTGGCCCACCACTGTCCTTTCACGGTGGACCCACTCACCCCAGCTGCTGGGGCTGCTCTGTGGCCGTCTTTTCATGGAACTCCTCTCTCTTCCCTCTGCATGAGGGCTAGGACTATACTTGGGACCCACCATGACCCCAGGGCAAGAACGCTCCCATCCTGGCCACATGTGGCCACAGAGGGTACAGGGACACTGGTCTCCTCCTCGCAGGGCCTGGGCATCCCTATGGCACATGCTTAGAAAGTCTGCCTCTAGAGGCTGGGCGCTGGGTGGGGGGGCACTGGAGAAGGACCCACAGGACAGCTCCCGGCACTACTTTCCTCTCTGGACTGGCCCCTTTTGTTCTTTCAGGGTGTCTTTCCTCCCTACAGGGGTCAAACGGAAAAGCCCCCTGGGGGGCAGAGGGTGACAGGTTTCCTTACGCCTTCTTGATGTCATCAGCGGACGCACTTGGCGGCACGTCTAGAATCTCGTAGTAGGATGCCATCGCAGTCGTGCAGCGGGCCTCTTCGGGGATGCAGGACAGAAGCAGTCAGGCCACCGGGAACCAGCAGCCCCTCCTAGCGGCTGGAGAGCCCTGGGGGAAGGAAGGCGCTCAGGGTGGTAGCGGGACTTGGGACCGTGCTTGCAGCCGGTGACTGGGCTTCCTCCGCAGCCTTATCTTTCCTAGCAGGCCGGGGCCCCTGGCTATCTCGGCGCACAGGCCCGGGAAGCCCGATCGGAGCCCCGTGACGCCGGTAGCCCGACCCAGAGTCCCCAGCCTGTCCCGGGTCGGCCGCACTCCCCCGCCCGGAGTCCCGCCCCTGCCCCCTCCCCCGTGGGGAACCGTCTGGCACCAGCAGCCCCGGCTCGCGGATGCTGCGTAGGACGCGCCAGGGCCAGCTATGTGCGCAGGCGTGAGTCAGAGGCACGGAAACTACTAGAGACCAGGAGAAGGCTGGCTCCGCCCGGCACCCCAAGGGGGAGGGCGACAGCAGGGGTTGTTGGGAGATGGGGGCGGAGCCGGCTATTTTGGGCTTGCACCCCAGCGACGTCACCCCAGGTGGCACCTGCGAGATGCGTCCTGCTGCAACCGTCCAGGCGTGATGCACTGGCGCAAACAAGACGCGGGGCCCCTGGTCCTTCTGTCGCTCTCCTATCCACATGATTCATGATATTCACCCGGAGGGCATCGCCACCTCAGGGACTCAACCGACTCCTCTCTGGATCCACCCCTCCCCCAGCTCCATATCCCTCCTGCAGTCCCAGGTCCTCAAAAGAGGCTGCCCTAGCTTCCCTTCCCTCAGTAGGCCACACTTACCTTTTATAGAATCTCCTGGCTTTCCTTCCTCACCCTGCCACACCACAAATTAGCATTGGTTGGTCTGCTTACTTGATTACTATTCACCTCCCCCACCAAACTGTAAAACCCTTTTTTCAGTAGTATACATATATATAAGGCCGTAGCCAAAATATCTATTGGATGATTAAATATTAAACAGATGCAAATCTCTTGGTGATAGTTTTGGTGACACATTAGGAGAGGTGGGTTAAAGAGGACGGTAAAAGAAAATACTCGGGATTCAAGGCTTTTCTTCTCAAGCTGGGGACCTTCCACCTCAAAAGGTCCTGCGTGCAGACCTCCTAAGAGAGTTAGAGAATTTACTCAGTATCATCTGGCCAATCCACAAATACTAGTTCAGTATCTTCTATATTTCATGCTGCCAAAATATATAAAGAATAATGTAAGGGCTGGAGGATATGGCCCATTCCTTGCCTAGCATGTGTGGGGGCCTGGGTTCAATCTCCAGCATCACAGAAATGAAAAACACAATAAAAGAAGAATGCAGCCTATTCCCTGACTTCTCTGAGATGGAACTTGAAAAGATAGGCATCCCTAAGTATAACCCACTGGGAAGCCCTAGGGCTTTGGAAACAGACCTGGGTTTGCAACCTGGTGCTGCTAGGCTTAGGGAAACTTCTGAGGACTTGAATTTTTCCCCCTAAATACTGTATAGACAATGCTGATGGCTGTTTGAAAATCTTATGAGTCAGGGTTTGTAACAGGAGTTATCGCTGTAAGATTTGGCCTAAGGAGCAATGGCTATGTGAGTCTAGGATGATTGACCCAGGAACACTTCATCAAAGACAAGGGCTTGAGTGGAGCATGTGTGCAGAAGGCAGTGTGCTTTGTCCAGTTTTCCTGGCTGCCCATCATCTGAACCTCCTGCCTCCGTCTGGGGAATTCTCACCTACCTTTGGGGAATTTCCATCCCATGGGCCCTAACAGAAGGCAGGCCATCTGCCACAAAGCATTAATACTTGCAGCTGACTCTCTTCCAGACTTCCAGCTCTAAGGGTGCAAGTAAAAGACACAAGCCTGCCAAGCAGGTGCAGCAACCAGGACTGAAACTGGGGCAAGCCACTGGGATGTGAGTGATTCAGAATTTGTCTCTGGTGCTGGTGGCTGCCATGGGGCCTGCGGCGGCCTCTAGTGTCTGAGAGAGGAAACATCAGCTTCTTTGTCTACTGAGGGAAGGTCCTCGCTGCAATGATAGAGGGAAGGAGGGTCTCCAACATAGGCGGCCCTGTGCCCCAGGCTTGACTGCCAAGCTTCCTTTGGTGTCTTCCTGTTTGCTGAGGCTATTTGCTTACTTTTTCATTGATTCTGTGTGCTAGTCCATATCTTGCTAATTGAAGGATGGGGTGCTTTTGTTGTTGCTTGCTTTATATAATTTGCCAGAGTTCATTTCTTCTGCTTGCAACAAGAGTCTTGACTGAACCAAAGACTGAAGGCTTAGATTTGGTTTAAGAGGAAAGAGTGGATTAGGATAGACCAGGTCACTCCAAAGTCTTCCAAGTCTCTGCCTTTTTCTTCTTACTTCTCTTGTCTAGCACCTCCTGTGTATGTGATATCACATTAAGAATAGGAACACAAAGGCATTTAAATTCCAGGCAGGGAAATAAAATCTAGTTGAGATATAAAAAAATGACAACGGAGGGAAGTCTTACGGGACATATGTAGCAGAAAAAGAAATACAAAAAATTAATAGGCAAACAATGCAATTTTTCCAGTGCTGGGGATGGAACTCAGGATCTTGTGAATGCTGGGCAAGAGCTTCACCATTTAGCTAGACCCTCACCCCCAGTGTACTTGTTCAAATAGGCAAAGGGTACAGACAGCTCACAGAAAAGGAAATACTGGCTTCTAAACACATGAAAATATGCTCAGTCTCAACCCCAACAAGAGAAGTATAAATAAAAGCTGCAACAAAATATTTTCACTAATTGAACGATTGACAAGGATCAAAAAGTTTACTATATCATAAGAGCAAGGTTGTAGGCCCAGGTGTCCTCATACAATGGTAGGGGCAGGGCAGCTAATTTGGTATTATTTCTAAAGAGAGAAATATGGAGTGCAACAAAATTATAACACACACACACACACAACCTTTGGCTCAGGAATTCCAATTCTAAGAACTTATATGCAGTGAAGTATATATGGAGTTGCACCGTTCATCTTCCCCACCCCCTATACTGGGATTGGAACTGCAGCCTCTACACTAAGGTATATCCCCAACCGCAGCATCCTTTTTAATAGCATAGGATTAGAAACAACCTAAACACCCATTCATAGCCAATTGGTTAAATAAGTCATGGTACACTATATATGATGGAATATTGTCACCAAAAGGAATGGGCTGGTGTAGACCATCTTCTAGACTGAATATTAAATGAGATGCAGAACACAGTGTGTACTAAAAATATAGGGACACACATTAAATATCTGTATATGTCTCTAGAAGAAAACACTAACAAAAAAGTTAACAGTGGTGCCTGCCGAGAGGAGAACAAGATGAAGGACATTTATTTTTGTTGTTTGTAAATTTTGGGGGGTACCTTATGAATCCTGAAACATATGCAAGTAACAGCTGTTCAAATACACATGAAAAATTGTTAAGGACCTAGGTGGGAACTAGGACATTCCCCAGAAGCCATGTGCTACTACTGTACAAGGCCACCCATGTCAAGTGCCAGATAAGTGACAGAGGTAGATGGTGGGGGATGGAAGAATCCAGAGGAGGGAGCCCTGCTGGAGATGGATGGGTTCTGGAAGGCCGTGACCTAATCTGGAAGGAATGGCAACACTGAGACAGCCAGAGCCCAAGCCCTGGCTTCCAGAAGGAGGAAATGCTGACGACACAGCTTTGCATATTCCTGACACAGCAGAGATGAGGGAATAAGCTTGTTGGGTGAGACCCAAAGCTAGGAACCTGTCTTCCTGTCTGCAAGAGGTAATTGTACCCTGGCCTTAGCAGCATCAGAGATGAAAGGATTGTCCTGCACTGAGGGAGTCCCCAGGAGCCGGGCTGGGCGGCACTCCCAGCTGCCCCAGGAAGTCTAGGTTGCCACCTCCTCATACACATACCCAACCCAACCCAGGCCTACAGGTCCCTACCCAAAGGGGCAACCCTGTGGAGTCTGCATGGAGATGAAGATACAGCCCCCAGATTGGGCTGGCCGGTACAGCGAATGAGAGGGGAACTGGCTGTCTCTCAGGATGCCCTCCATCCTGGCAGGTGACATTCCCACCTCTCTCTCTCTCACATAGGATATCAGGAGAACCTTTCCAAAAGGCACTGACAGCCCTAAGACCTATCCCCAACGTAGCCTCTGCCCCAGTTCCATTCCAGAGACAGGGGCCCTGCTCCCTGCCTTGATGTCCTTCATCACAGATGCCAGACAAGGATGTGTCAAGCGTCATGCCCTGGAGACACCTGAGTCACCGTCTGGGCTTTGCTTACCTGACAGGCCAGAAGAGGTAGTGTCTGAGGAGCTCCTAGAACAAGGCGGTAGGAGGGCCGGGCTGAGGGAAGGAGGTTAGCAACCTGAGTTTTAGTTCAGGCCCACCTGGATCTGGAACCCAGCTTCTCCACTTACAAACTGGGTGACCTTGGGCAAGTCAGATCATTTCTCTGAGCCAGTCTCCACATCTATAAAAATAGGCAATGATGGAGTGAGGAGTGAGTTCCCTCAACAAATATTGAGCGTTGAATGTACTAGGCGACATGCAAGGTGCTGCATGTAGGGCAGTGAGGAACAAGGCCTTGTTTCCAAGGAGCTTCCATTCCAGTAGTTACAGTAACTGTATACATCTCAAGAATATACAAGATGATCCAGGTGCTGTGGTGCATACCTGTAAACCTGGCACTCTGGGAAGTGGAGGCAAGAAGATTATAAAATTGAGCTCAGTCTGGGCAACTTAGCAACAGCAAGACCCTGTTCACATTTTAAAGACCTTAAAAAGAGGCTGGGGAGATTGAGGGTAGCAGGAAGGGCAGACCCAAGGTATTTCTCTGTCCCTGTCTCTGTCTCTCTCCCTTTCTCCCTCTCTCCCTCTCCCTCCTCTCTCTTCCTCTCTTTCAGGGAGCTTATCAAGCAGTGGTTGTATCTTCTCCTTGGCTCTGAGTCCTGTCAAATACCCCTTCCTCCTTGGTCCCACCTGCTCCCTCTCAGTCATCCTGCTGTGGTCCCAGCTCCAAGTTCTAGTTCAGTGCAAAGGCCCTGTGTTCAATCCCCAGTACTCAAAGCAAAACAAAATTAGGGCCAGGGATTTAGCTCAGTGGCGTTGCACCTGCCTTGCAAGCACAGGGTTCTGAGTTCATCCCTGGTACCAAAAAAAAAAAAAAATCAAAATGGAAAAAAAAGAAAAGAAGAAGAAGAAATAAGCCAAATATGTTATATGTTGATGTGTGCCTGTAATACCAGGAATTACACTCTGGGAATCTGAGGCAGGAGAACTGCAAGTTTGAGGCCAGTCTTGGCAATTAAATGAGACTGTATTTCAAAATAAAGTAAGAAAAAGGGCTGGGGATGGAGCTCAGGAATAGAGCACTTGCCTTGCTTTGCAAGGCCATGAGCTCGATCCTCAGTACTGGAAA